AGAACTCAATCCTAGTATGGCCATGGTAACAGAGAGGACTATTCTCTCCATCACTGCCTCCCCTCTCCCACAATTGAATTTGTCCCAGACATAAGAATTCTACCTGAGTCTCCAGTCCTGTGTGCAGGTTTTACTTCTCCTTAAAAACTCAGAGATTGTATAGCAAATAAATGTTAATGAAAATTAATGCTTGAGATAAGACTGAGAATGCTGTTTTACACACTTTCTGATTAATTACTAAATGAAGAAATGAATGTTAAATAGGTACCTCCAATGGAGTTCTAGTAAGGACCACCATCTCCTTTCTCATCCTTTTCTGATCTTTTTCCTCTGTGTATTCCCCAATTTTGTTGCTATTGTTACCACGTGAATATGTGAATCTTTTTTTCCCCAGCTCAGAGAACTCATAGTTTTAGAGCTAGAAAGGGCTTAAAAGACATCTTGTCCAACCCTTTTATTTTACAGATGAAGAAACAAACTTAGAGAGAGCAAGTGACTTACCCTAGGTCCCATGGGTAGCATCTACCAAAGTTTATGACTCAAATTAGCCCTGTCCCATCATCCCTTCAGCTTCAATGGCAGTCTGGGCTCCTGGGGATTCAGTCACCATCCACATTACTTAACTCAGAAAAGCTGAGTCTGCTAGTACCAACGTCCAGGACAAGCTATTACTTCCAAGGCCACCGAGGTTATGCAACTAAGGGGAAAATGGATATCATCAAGTCTTCTCTTTATTATTTCTTTTCCTCATTCAAAATTTCAATTTTGTAACAACAACAATAATAATAATAGCTAATATTTAGAGTGTAATTGGATTTCAGACTTGTGACAACCCAACATGGTAAGTGGCAGTGTGGGGCAATAGAAAAGATGTTAGATTTGGAATCAGATCAACTGGATTAAAAAATCTGAGCAACCCTGAGTAATTCACTTAATTTCACTGAGCTTCAGTTTCTTCATCTGTAAAATGAGGGGAATGGGCTAGCTGCTAGATGACTTCTAAAGGCCCTTACTCAGTTAGGTGTCATGGTTATGCTGCTTTTCTCAGTTTCCTCAACTGTAAAGTGGGAATAATAATAGTACCTATCTCCCAGGGTTGTTGTGAGGATCAAATGAGATATTTATAAAGCATTTAGCAAAGTGGCTGGCACATTGTAGGTATTATATAAATGCTATTATTATTATAGCTCTAAATCTATGATCTTAAGTATTATAATCATCTGCATTTTACAGTTAAGGAAACTGAGTCTCAGAGAGGTTAAGTGATTTGCTAGCATGGATCAGGACCAGGATTTATACCTTGGTCTCAATTCACAATGGATTCAAGGCTCTTCCTACTACCCCATGCTATTTCTCAGTTGTCCACTAACATTTATAGCAGGGCCTACGTTTTCACAAGGCATTCTCAGTCTTATCTCTGATGTATCTCAAGCATTAATTTTCATTAACACTCTTATTTGCTATACAGTCTCTTTCTTGGGGGCCCAGTCTTGTTTTTCTAGGGCCTGGGTTTTTGGGCTTATCAGTATGGTTGCATGCATCCTGTCGGGCTCTGATTTTGCTTCAAAGATTTCTTCCCCTTTCATTTCTGCTCCAGCTGTATCTTTTCCCTAACCAGTCTATTCAGTCCAGTCCCTAGGGTTTGTGAACCAACTCAGTGTGAATTGCCTGAATTTACCTTCTCCAGCAAGGAATCATGAGTTCTACATCTTCCTCCTCTCTTGGTTTAAAAAAAAAAAAAACACCTGGATCAGTGGGCACAGATTATCCTTAACAATTGGGCCACATTATGGTTAGGGGTTCTGTCTTCTGACGCACTACAGGCCATTGACCTTTGAGACCGAACAGCTAGCAGCTCACTCTCTGGGTTGAGTCAGGACAAAAAGAGGAGTTGGCTTACTGAGTCAGGTTGAGAAATCTGATGCCTTGGTCTAGTGGTCCAAATAAATGCTTAGGGGAGAGAAGGGACATGGGGATACCTATAGCTCCATAAAGGAACCTTTCCCTTTACCTGCAACACAGCCTAGGTTCAGGGATTATTAATCTGGGGTTTGTGGGCAGATTTCAGGAGGTCTGGGAACTTGGACGGCAAAAAAAAAAAAAATCCCCACTAACCTCTAACTGAAATTTAACATTTCTTTCATTTATGAATGGAGGCAATGAATCATTATTCTGGAAAGGGGTCCATAGGTTTCACCAGACTATCAAAAGGGTCCATGGCATAAAGAAGGTTAAGAACCATTGACAGGTATTGTTTTGATCCTGGCTCAGACTTAAAGAAGAAGGCTAGTATAGGATGCAAGACTTAGCCAAGTGCTTCTTATTTCGGATTTTGGTGAAGAAATCTAACCTTTCTCAGGATGTTGTATATAAAACTTACAAAGGTACTATTTCATCTCCTTGTCCCAAGGATAAACTGAACTGATATTTTATTGGTCTCCTAACCTCAATATTATAGATTTAAAGCTGGAAGGGACCTTGTTGTCTCAATGTAAGGAAATCTTTTACACTCAGCATATCATCTCTTTAGAGGAAAGAGCATAATATACTATATCCCTTCCCCATGAAGGTGTTCAATACCTATCATTCATTAAATAGTAATACTAGATTAAAATAGGCACACTTTGATTGTTATTTAATAGATTTAAAAAAAATATCTACAGGATCTGAATATAGAAACAAAAAGTAAGAAGGAAGGAAGGAAGCTCACTGTGGTCAGTGAGTCCAAAATGAGTCCAGGCTTCATGTGAACTCAGAACAAGAACCTTTTGTGAGAAGAAACCAGTGTTCGCCCTGGCCCCCTAGTAACAGGGGAAAGACACTATGGTATTGTGGAAATCACTGAATTTAGAGTGAGCTTTTGTTGTTGTTCAGTTGTGTCTGACTTCATGATCCCATTTAAGGTTTTCTTGGCAAAGATAATGGAGTGATTTACCTTTTTCCTCCTCCAGCTCATTTTACAGATGAGGAAGCTGAGGCAAACAAGATTAAGGTCATACAGCTATTAAATGTCTGAGGGCAGATTTGAACTCAGATCTTCTTGATTCCAACCAGGGCCTGCTCTATCCACTTCACCACCTTAGCTGCCCTAGAGTGAGCTAGCTTGGTTTAAATCCTTGCCCTGCTATTTACTTACTGTTCGATGTCCAGCTCCAGTTTCTTCAACTGTACAATCAGAGGACAGGGCTAGATGAATTCTGAGGTCCCTTCCAGCTCAAAACTTATGAATAGAGAAAGTCTTTTCCAATCAGTCAACAAGCATCTATTAAGTGTCTCCAATGTGTCAGGCATTTCACCAGGCACTGGGGATATGAAGGTCAAATACTGAAGCTGAAGCTTAATACTTTGGCCATGTAATGAGAAGACAAGACTCATTGGAAAAGACCCTGATGTTGGGAAACATTGCAGGTAAAAGGAAAAGGGGACAACAGAGGATGAGATGGATAGATAGTGTCATGGAAACAATGAACTTCAAAATATAGTGGAAGATTGACGGGCCTGATGTGCTATGGTACATGGGGTCATGAAGAGTCAGACATGATTGAACAACAACAAATTCAGAACATAGCTGAGAACCAGGACCAGGGCACAAAAAGACCTCTGAGCAATCAAGGATAGATAATACTTAATCAGTCAATGAACAAGTACTTATTAGTAAATAAATAATCCCTAGCCTCATGCTTGAATTCTATTAGGGGAAGATAGATGCATATAAAAATATATAGACTAAATATAAAGAAAATACAAAGGAATGCAAAATAGTAAATGAAATACAAGGAGGTTTGAGAGTCAAGTCAGGTTACTAGCAGTTGAGGGAGGGGAGGGAATATGACACCATCTATAAAAAACGTGATTTCAGTTGCAAACCATTCACCCACTAACATTTCCCAACTCCTCACCCCAAGGACCGACTGCAGTAGGTTAAGTGGGTTAACCCATCCAAGGGTCAATTACTGACTTTAAATCAGCTTCTCCCAGGGTCCTAGTACAAGTCGCTGGCAGACCCACATAAGAAACACTGAAAAGATTCCTCAGGTCAAAGTGAAGCAATGAATAAAGCAGCAGCAGCAGTAGATATAAGCAGATGAGATTCAAATCTCACACAACTAACTCTAAACCCCCCTAATTCGACCATTTTCTTAAATGTTGGATAAGTCAGGTGAAGAAGACCGTTTTCGGTGTTTCTTTTAACTTCCTTAGTTTCTTTTGGTAACTGAGTCCATTTACCATGTTTTCTTTCCTAACCACCCTCCCCAACCCCCCATCCCCACACACACCCGCTCCAGGGCCAGGGCAAAAGAATAGTGTTTCTCAGGTGTTTATTTTCGTCGCGGTGGGGCTGCGGAGGGGTTAGCAATTGTAGCTCTCAGGGGTTGAATGCAAGAGTAGATAGAGTGACGAAAGGAGAAGAGAGGGCTGAGAAAATGCATGTCTAAGCGCTTGCCAAGAAGAGAGGGGCGAAGGAGAGCGGGCACTGGGTATTTGGAGAGTGGGTGGAAGGAGCCGGTGGGACAGGGTTATTTGGAGGGTGGTTGAGAGAAGACTGAGACTCAGGCAGAGAAAGGGAATACAAAGTGTGACCCGCACGGAACAAATGAGCAAAGAAGGCCAGCGAAAGGTGGGGGCGGGTAGGGAATCGGAAGGGCGGGCTGGTGCCTGGGGGTGGGGACGGTTGGGCGGGGCTCCGGGCTGCACCTTGCCTATTCTTTCGCCCGCTCCCTCTCTCCACCCCAGGGGCCGCCTGCGCCCGCCCCTCCCTGCCCCTCCTCCCATGCAATAAGGGGAGCTGAGGGGGGAGGGAGGAGGGGGAGCCGCGCGGCAGCACCTAAGGAGAACAGAGTCGGGCCGCCCGTCGGGAGTAGGGGGCAGAAGATCCAAGACATCCCCGGCCCGGGCCGTAGCGCGCTGGGCGCTCCCCCTTGAGAGCGGGGAGAAGGGGGGCCCCCGCCGACGCCCCCAGGTCGCCACGCCCGGCTCCCGGGCACGCCAGCCGCGTGCGCATTTCCTAGAGCGCTCCTGCCCGTCGGGCCGGCCCGGAGCCGAAGCCAGTATGGCCAGTCTGGAGCCATGGACTTGGGTGCTGCTGCTGTTGCTGCTGCTGCTCGCGCTGCCGCTGCTGAGTCGAACTGCCAACTTCTATTTCAGGATCGGCTCCTACTGCGTGTTATGCGTGGTGTTCTCCGCGGTGGCCTGCGTGGTCTGCGTCCTGTGCCATGGGGGCCGCACTGTGCGCAACATGAGGCAAGCTGGGGACCCGGCTGCACGGGGGTTTGGGGTCCGGAGTCTGCCCCCGCCGTGGGCGCACTCAGTGCAACAGCTTCCAGGGTGACTCTTTCCGCTTTTCTAACTTTCTATTTTCTCCTTTCCCTTCTTCCTGCCCCGCCTGCCCTGGCTTCCTGGCGACTCTCCTCGCTTGGACAACCGCGGGAGAAGCCACGCCGTATCCCGAGACTGCTCCCCTCTCCTCCGGGCTGCAAACTTTCTCCTTTGCTTTTCCGGCGGTTCCCTGTTCGGGAAGGGTCGGGGGAGAGACCGCGTCGTGGTCACTGGAGAAGCTGTCGTCATAATGCCTCGCGCCCCGCCTGAGCCCTCTCCCCTCCGACCTGTCTATCTGCGGAGGACTTCCAGAATCCTCTCTTCCCCTGTCCCTTGCACCTCTTGGAGTGGGTTGCAGGGGAGAGTTGGGAAGGGAAGGTAGAAGGAAAGTCTTCCTCCCTGTGGCCCAAGTAAAGAAAAAGTGAAACGAAGGAGAGTGCGGAGAGATTGGTGCCCCCTTTGAATTGGAAAAGGGCATGTGCTAGCCTGGATTCTTGGAACAGGAGCCTGTGGGGCTGCTTCCTGGTCCAGCTTTAAGTCTTAGGATGCCAGAGCTGGAAGGGAGCTTCGAAATCAACCAATCAAATCCCTTCATTTTCACAGAGGAGGAAACAGGGATCCATAGATGGGAAGTGACTTGTCCAAGGTTACCCTTGAAAGGAGTTAGTCAGTTCAGCGGCTGAGCCGGGTCACTAGTTCAGACCTCATTCAGTGCTGCGAAGGGAGAGTAAGCTCAAAGCTAAATCAATGAAACGCACGACATAGGAGAAAGCTAGTAACTCCTGATCAAGAACCTTGGGTGTGTTTGTCTCCCCTCCCCCTTAAGGAGGCTTAGGGCAGCCCTTTTTCCTAGGTCTTGGATCGGGTTGAAGCAAGGGATAGTAACTCACCGCCCCCAATCCTCCTTTTCCCCCAAAGACCTGTGGGAAGGCCTGTCAATTTGTGTATCACATATTCAAGAAGCAAATTGAAAAATAGATAGTCAGGGAGTTTGGAGAAATTCAGTGCTTCCTAGTTCAGTGAAGGAAGTAGGGCTGGAATGTTTCTCCTGCAAGGATTCATTTTAACAGTCATTTGGGCTGGCTTACCCAGGCTAAGCACCATACTCTTTGTAGTCCAGGTGCCACACCTATCCCAAATCAGGCATCACCTGAGATCGGTAAGTCATTCAGGAGCCAATGGATGAGCAGCCCTCTTCGTGAAAGCTAGGTGGAGCAGAGGCTTCGGGAATGGACTGGAGGATGTTGTGTGTGTGCCTCACTTTCTTTTTTTTTAAAGGGAAATTCTTTCTTGTTGTCTCACTGGCCTTTGAAAAAGTCCTAATATGTATTACTACATTTCCTTCTTTGTCCCACTAGGAGGATTTCTGGCTCCTCTGTGTAAAGCCCTTTTTCAAACTTTAAAGTGATTATACACACGCCAGTTGTTAATACTTTTTTTTATCATCCTTATCATTGGTTCTACAGTTGAAGCAGTCTGTCCAAGGGGAGAAGTGGGGGTGTCATTCTGGCCAATCTCTTGAGGCAGTGTGCTGGGCTGGCCTTACTGGGATCCATAGAATCAGGAGTTTAAAGGTGAAAGAGACCTTGGAAGCTACAGGACCAACCCCCTAATTTGACAGATGAGGAGATTGATCCCTAAGGGGATGAAGTAATTTTCTCAGAGTCACATAGGATTATAAATTTAGTGCCAGAAGGGATCTTAGAGACCATATAGTCCTACTCCCTCTTTTTACAGAGGAGGAAATCAAGGACAGAGCCAGCTAAAATTAGCTCTGTGGAACCACTTGTTACATTTCCATTGTGGTCCTTTGTACCTTAGAAATTGGCAAATGCTGCAGATCTGGACTTGATATGGTTTCTTGTCTAAACCAATGATGTGGAACAAATAGAAACTTAGAAAACCTCAAACTAACATTATTTTAGTTTTATTGTACTTTTAATTTGTTAAACATTTCCCAGTTGCATTTTAATCTGGTTCAGACATATTCAGATGTTTTGAGGGCAGCAAGTTTGACACTTTCTGGTCTAGACTTAAAAAAGTGATGGGGAAAAAAATCTAAGTAATGAAAAATGAACTTAAAAGAGTTTCTTGGGCACATTTTTTTTTCCAGCGAGCCAGTTGTTGAACATTTCCCAGCATACCTCGGCCCAAGAGAGTGAAGCAAGTTGCCCATGGTCACACAGGATCATTGATTTGGATCTTGGAGGGATCTTAGAAGTCATCTAGTCCATCACCAGTTGCCCATGGTCACACAGGATCATTGATTTGGATCTTGGAGGGATCTTAGAAGTCATCTAGTCCATCACCTTCATTTTGTCCAAAGCCACACCAGATGAAAGCTACTAGAACCCAAAATCAAACCCAGGTTTTCAGACTCCAAAATCTAGCACTATTTCCACCACCTCATCTTGGCCTATGGACTGTGGCTGAGCAAGAGTTCCTCATAAAGAAGGGGTGTACCCTAACTTACCCTCTTTTTGTATGTTGTCTTCGGCTAGTCTGACCTCCAATCAGATAGGATCTAATTCCTCCCACCCCTCACTTCAGTTTTACAGATGAGGAAACCAAGGGCTCAGAGACGGAAAGGGACTGATTACATGGTCACATGGAGTGAGTGGCAGAGCTGGCCCTCTGATCCTCAGTCCAGTGATTTTTTTTTCCAACTGTACTTGGCTGCTTAAGCATAGCTGAGATCTTCCTGTTCTCCTGGGTCCTGCTGGTTTCAGTGTTTGTAAGCACATATCCAAAGCTCCACTCAGCAGCCCTATGGGAATAGATCTTGTGACCCCTGCAGAGCTCCTGCAGGAAAGAAAGGGATGCTGTTGAGAGGCAAACTGTATATAGGCATCCTCTATAGAGCTTATGTTCTGGAAGATTCCGCAGGAATAATTTAGTGAAAAGGGTCCCCTTTTCACCAGGGCAGATATGGTCAACCCTGTCTGTATTGGACCCATGCCCTGTTGGCTCTGAGAGACTATTGAACCAATGTCAGTGGCTATTCAGGGGCAAATAGTTCAGCAAACATTTGTTAAGTACTAACTCCTTGAGCTGGAACTATCTTTTGCCTTTCTTTTTATCCCCAGTACATAACACAGTGCCAAGCACGGGATTGGGGGAGGGGGAATAAGTGTTTATTAAGCCCCTAGTATGTGCCAGGCACTGTGCTAAGCGATTTACAAATTTATCTTATTTGATCTCACAACACCCCTTTGAGATAGGTGCTATTATTATCCCCATTTTACAGCTAAGGAAACTGAGGCCCACAGTGGTTAAATGACTTGCCCAGAGTCATACAGCTAGTAAGTGTTTGAAGCTGCATTTGAACTTTGGCCTTTTTTTACTCCAGGCCCAGTGCTCTATCCATCATACTACCTAACTGCATCATAGTAGGTGCTTAATAAATGTTCCTAGACTGTGTACAAAGCCTTCTTATTAATGCCATTCAATAAGCAGGAGCTGAATGCTTTCTTTTCTTTTTAAATAACTGAAATTGAACAAGTTCCCCTCCCTATTTTACAAAGTTAAGATTTGAGGTCTAATGGGGGAAGGGTAATCTAATGAATCCACAAGCCTGGCTTACCTGGTACCAGTCAAGTCCAGTGCAATGATAACTGTTGTTCAAATGAATGACACTAAAGCTAGATAGAATTTAAATAATCCCTAACCAAATGGTTTAAGTTCTTCCCCATCCTGTTTGATTTGGGGGGAGGGAGAAGAGCACACTGGAACTTGGAACCATTCCATACACTGTGGTGTTTTCTTGAGTATTGACCTGTGGTGTATAGTGGGGACAGAGGGGGAGGTTATGGCAATTGTGAGAGGTCCTGGGTGCACCTGGATATGGCTACATTTGCATGTGGCGGGATTCTATTCAATTTCCATTAAAAGCATTGTTCAATTACCAGCCATGTGCCAGGCATTGTGCTGGACATTGAGATTACCAAGACAAAGTCAAACCATTCCTGCCCTCAAGGAGCTTTTTTCAAATTCTGTGGCAGGTGGGGGACAGCCTGAATACAGATAAACCAATGCAAAATGTATGCAAGAGTGTTTCCTGGGAAGTGGGGCTGAGAGCACCAATGGGGGAGGGGCGATCAGCAAAGGCCTCTTGTTGGGGCGTGATTCTCCAGCCAAGTATTGAATCTTAGAGATCCTGGGAGCCAGAATATCTAAGGGGAAACTGCAAGTAAGCCATTATTTGCTATTTCTGAGTCCTGTTTAATGAGCAAGTCCTTCATTTGAGAATTTCTGTATTTTTGTTCCACTCTTCCTGGGGTGATACTACTGAACACTTCAAAAAAGTTTACTGTACCCTTTAAACAATCCCCTAAGGCTTCCTGCCTACTCCGGCCTGGACTAAAGGGACGAGGAGAATGACTGGGCAGTTTATGTAACCTGCCTTGTGGCATCCCTGCTCATTCCCACCTCTACCTTCCACTATGGGTCTTAGGCAAAAGTGAAATTTGTCTTCTCTCTCTCCATCAGCTCCCGTCTTGCATCCCTTTCCATCCTAGGTTTCTGGAGCCTTTGCATGCCCCCAGTCTTATAGACACCCCCACCCCTATTACACAACATCCTACACAGACAATGCTCTAATTCCAGACTTTATGAATTCTCTTTTTCACGTTTCTTTCCCTCCCCATAAACAAACTTCTTCCCCTACCCTCCAGGTCATGCTCTGTGCTAGGCGATTTCTCCTGGGAGATCTTTTAAGATGGAACCTTCCTTGGTTACACTAATCAGCTAGTTTTCAGTTAAGGGGCTGCTTTGGGGAACTAGGTCAGACTGTCTCAAAGTCATTGGTCCTTGCTTTGCCATTTACTACAATTAAAAGACTTTACAGTGAGCTAAAGTCCTTTCCAGGGGAAGGGGGAATGTGGTCAGTTGAGGCCCGGACCTGAGGGTAGCTAGGAGAGAAGGAG